TGATAGCTTCAGCACTGTGACCATGGGTCTCCACTTCTTTGGTAGACTTCTGATGATCTTCTTCACATGATCAGAAGTGGAGTATCCTTTGTCAAGGACCTTCAAACCAGCTATCAGAATCTGGAATCTTGAAAACATGGTTTCCACAAATTCTTCTTCCTCCATCTTGAAGGCTTCATACTTCTGAATAAGCGCAAGAGCCTTTGTCTCCTTCACCTGAGAGTTCCCTTCATGTGTCATCTTTAATGACTCAAACATGTCAAACGTTGTTTCTCTATTTGTGATTTTCTCATACTCAGTATGAGATATAGCGTTTAACAGAATAATTCTAGCTTTGTGATGATTTCTGAAATCTCTCTTCTGTTGGTCAGTCATTGACTTTCTGTCAATCTTTTTGCCCTCACCATCAGTGGGGTGAATGTATCCATCAATGACCAAATCCCATAGATCAACATCATAGCCTATAAAGAAACTTTATATTCTATCCTTCCAATAATCAAATTTCTCTCCATCCAACATGGGAGGCTTGGTGCTGAATCTATCTTTATCATCATATTTGTTATTTGGCTGTTCAGCCACAATATATCAAAGATAATAAATCAATATTTTTCCCAACTGGATCTTTCTCTGTCACTGTTAAGTGATAGCACTTCAGATCCGGAGCTCTGATACCAACTGAAGGTAGGAAAAACACTTAGAAGGGGGGGGGGAGGTTGAATAAGGGTTTCAAAAACAACTATGATAATAGAAAATGACAAGTTATTTTATCCTGGTTCGTTTGAATTCAAACTACTCCAGTACACCCGCCAAGGTGATTTTGCCTTTCTCAAACAAGGACTTAATCCACTAAATCAAAACCTGATTACAGTGATATCACTAAGACAAACTGTCTTAGTCTTCTCAAGAATCCTGACCACAACTTGGTCTCTCAAGGAACTTTTACAAAGATAAAATACAATGTGTTTAAGTGCTTCTAGAAAGCTATTATCACAACTGTGATTTTTACACAAAATGAAGAACAAATAAAACTTATGTGTTTGATGTAGAAAGTTGTTTGATGTACTTGTGTTTTTCTTTGTATGAGTTTCTGCATTGATTGTTTTTCAAATGTTCCTTGGATTGTTTTTGGAATTCTCTTTTACCTTGAAGTGCTGATGGAGACTTCTTTATATACTCCACTTTCTCAAATAGTGTGTAGATGAAATTACTGTAGGATGTAGACAGAAAGGACAAATACTTTTCGTCTTGATTTGACATTCCCTTTTTGCCTGAATTCCTGTGCCATACACGAATGAGAAATAGTGTCGTTGGTAGACATTGGGTTTAGCAATGTATCTTTCTTGAACAATATCTTTTCAAATGAACAGATATGAAAAATAATCTTGCATCAGATCCTCTAATGATGTTCCATGTTCTTCTTTATCAGAGTCACTCTATCCAGAGTTTTGCAGCAAAGTGCTTAGCGTGAATGAATGATCAGAGTTGACTTGATTCTCAGAGCCTCTGTAGGTTGCAGCGTTGAGTTCTCACAGAGTATTCTGAATATACTGAATATTTATACTCTGCACTCAGAGTCTTCTGTAGGTAGTGCTTCAGAGTCTTCTGTAGCTTTGCTCAGAGTCTTCTGTGTTGCGCTTTCTACGCTCAGAGCTTTGCGTTATATAATATTCAGAGGAATTCTTTTTTGTCTTTAGATGAATATTTATTTGATATCTAAAACAAAAACACTTGAACAAAATTAGAGTATATATTTTCTCTATACAAAATTTCATTAATGTTATCATCAAAATATTGAGATATATTAAGAACCAATCTGTATTCTAACAAGTTACACTTGCTCAATCAGACTAGCTGAATAAGACTTTCACAGCTCAAACACTTAAGCAATGAGACTTAAGTGGGTTAAGCATCTTGGCTCAAGACTGGTTGTTTGAATCCCAATGAGACAAGACTTTTTGCTCAAGCACATAGCAGGAGACTTAATCTAAACTACTGAAGGCTCGGTAGAATATAGAACAAGGTGTATATGATGCAAGTATCAGAGGTACGGGAGATCATCATAACAAAGACCTAAAGCACTTAAGATTTCTAAATATGTACAGGGGTAAAAAATCTTAAGGCTTTTACAATTACAACCTAAAATAGAAAATCTGCATATTACATAGAGTTGATAATTGTTTGATCTTGCTACTTACCCTTTCCAGAAACTAATCGTTGAGAATGTGACTTGATCAAGTGTCTTTGCTTTTGCTCCATAGTACAATAGACGTTGTAGATGGATGTACAACATATTCTAGAAATCAGTGTGTAACATGTTTAACCTTTGAGTCTTCAAGAGGTTCTGTAACAGCCCAATTTTCAATAATTGATTAATGGTACTAATTAATTGGTTTGTGTGATTTATCTGATTTAAGTGAATTATTGGATCTATTTAATTTATATGAGTTAATGAATTTAACTGATTTATTCTATTTGGTAGAATAAGGTGAATTTACTAGATCTTCTCTAATTAATGATAAGATGAGATATATTGAGGAGAAGTAAAAGAGAAGGATATATAAGAGAAAGTGGAAAGAAAATGATAGATATAGAGAGAAAGGAAAAAGAAGAGAAAGAAAGAAGGAAGAAGAGAGAAGAGGAGAAAATAGAGGAAAAGCTTGGAATCATCAGAACGACTTCTAGCTTCCAATTAATCAAGGTAAGGGTGTGAAATATCATTATCTTATCAATGTGTATGATTATGTACGTGTGTGTTTGGATTTGTTAGAGGTTTTCCATCTTTTTCCATTCTAGGGCAGAAATGGATTTAATCGATAGACTCGATATTTGAACGGTTAAAATCTGGAATAAATGGTGTAGATTAGTCGAGGATTATTAGGCTAAGACTACTGGAATTCGTTGGAATTGAATCCGCTGCTACATGCAAAGTGAAATCTTGAAAAGCATAATTATTTATTAAAGTATTAATGAGCATGACAGATGGTTTTTGATGTTTTGAAAGTTATGTGTGAAGCCCTTTTGTGAATGCATGAAAATTTACTCTGATTATTCGTATATTTTCCGTGGGGTTTAGAAGGGTGTTACAGGTTCTGTACTAATAGAGCAGTTGGGAGCAAATATCCATGGAACGTACTAGATTTTCTTTAGCCTTGCAATCTTGTAGACTCGAGCTGACATGCTGATAAGACAATACATCTTGTTTTTAGTAGTACAAATAATATATAGCTTTATCATTAACTTTGAATGGTACTAGATGCCGATATACAATTACTAAGTGTAGAATCTCGTCTGAATACTAAGGCCTTTAGTTCAGAGTCTTCGTCAAACCACACTGGTAATTGTTCTTCATACTCTGCCACCATAAGCTAGCAATGAAGCAACTTCAAATGTATCTTAAGTAAAACAGATTCTAATAATTTATGTACAAGAAAAATAATCTGCATAAATAAAACACACATCAAATAAATTATTGTTCTTTAAATACTTTTGTTATCATCAAAACTAAAAGAGAATCTGTCAAAAACAAATCTTGTTCTAACAATTTGAATCGTCGCATCCATTTCATTCAGACCCTTTATTGAGTAACAGTAAAAGATACTTCATATCACCTTCAAGTCATCACTTGTCTTTAGTTCAAGCATGGTGAACTGTATGTTCCATTCGTTGTCTATAGAGGATGAACAGTACTCAAACTTGACAACTATCTAATTTTCTGAATATCAAAGAAGAGTATTCAATTTGGTTTTATATCGACGAGAAGTATGCCCTTGCAGATCTGAAATTGAAGTGGGGGTTTTGTGCTATTGAAATACACAAATGCAAGATAAGGATATGTATTCATTCTGGTTTGTGTAAAGAAAATGGAATGAGAGACCCCATTTATAGAAGTTGTAGAGCAATAAGGACCTTACAAACATGATCATATTTGCATACACTTTAAAGATACATATCCGAGTCCAACTTTTTTTTTTCAAAAAATAAGGGTCTATCTAGAGATTCATCTCTGAATTATCCTCTGTTTTATTTATTTATTTATTTTAATAATTAAAAAGTTTGTTCGAAAATGCATCTCTGAATCCATCCAAAAAATTTGTAGAACAAAACAATACTAATTATGCATAGCGGAATTTGAAAAACAAAAAATACCACCCAATTTATAACATTATGCAGGGCGTTACTTACAAAAAGAACATGTTACATTGTTAGAGTACAATTAAAACACATCAAAATATATGTCACTACCTAACTCTATTGATGGCTCATTCTTCGACATTTCATTAAATGCATTTTCAAAAATATCACTGAGTTATTACTTAAATCATCTATTTGTCTCAATAACAAACTCATAAATGAATTCAAGGAATATTTCGGAGATGTTTATTTTAATACATTCAACTCGGATACAGAGATGCATTTTCGGATATACCCAAATCTAATACAGAGATTTCTCTCCAATTTTTTTTTTTTAAAACTATAAGAAAATTCAAAAAATAGAAGATAGGCGTGATTTTGATTAGATCTAGAGATGCAAACTTTTGTGAATATTTTTGAATTTTCATCCGAGACACCACCAAAAATGAAAATTAAATAATATCCCCCCAATATTTATCAAAGATAAACATGTATTAAATTTTTACTCGCAAATATCAGAGGTAAAGCGTCCTTCCCCTGAAAACCCGAGGTTAAGACAAAAATAAATAAATAAAATTAAAAATTAAAAAATTAAAAAATTAAAAAAATATATAAAAATTAAAAAATAGACTTCATCGTGAATGTTAATTATTAAAATGGATTGAACAAATGCTCGTCCTCCACATCACTGCCTAAAACTTTTCTAACTGAAACCATAGAACCCATAACCATTGGTCATCCGTTATAGGTCCATGAACCTGACGTAGAAATTTAAGCTTTAAGCTTCAACCTTAACAAAACTTATGACTTGAAAATTACATCTACAAGACTAAAATACGACACATTACAAAACAAGGTAATGAAAGCAACTATTGTACTCCACTCCACCTAGCCCAGTCAACAAACTGCATGCCACCATAAACATTGTTGGCGAAACGCACGCCAACTGTGAAAGCCAAAGCAACTGGTGGAACCCGCTTTGCCATTGGTGATGCTTCTACCAAACGTTCCAGTCCGTTGACGATTTGGTATCGCGTGTTTGAAGATACTGCAAGGAACACACCTGCACGGATGTTCAAGAAACATGTCACATGCAGGAACAAGATACACCTATCTCATGCATTGTCAGTGTGACAAAAGTTTACTATTTCCTAACAACTCATTGAAAACGAACAGTTGGTGTTTTCTAGCTAGGTAATAGATAGAAATCATAGAAATAAGTTTAAAGACTGAATGATTTCTTACCCCAAAGAGCGGCACTCTCCAAAAGAGGAGGTACAGGTACGTCGTCTTCTGATTTCTTTATGCTCCTGGTAGCAATATGAGATGAAATATTAATCGCGCAAGAAAATAAGTATATCAGTTTACGGAAATTTGTGCAAGTATCATTCAGTTTGAACAACGCCGTTTATGTCTGAACATGGAAAGTTACTTTTGAGTGAAAATCGTGCAAACAATGTAAAGCAGACTGTCAATAAGAAACCATACCGCTTTGCAGTCATGATCACGTTTGCAATGCCTTGGCCTATAATACCGCATCCAAATCCAACAGCTCCATACATTATACCCTGGAAACAGATAGGTAAATCAAAATCAGTGTTGTCAATTGCGGATAGTGGATTGTTAAAATTCGCTATACAAAAGTGCTACAGTGACTATTTGACAACATTTTTTATCAAATAGTATATCGCGGAACAATAGCAGTATGTCCAAATTTTGTTATGCTTAGCGGTATAGCGCCGCTATAGTAGCTATTTAACAACATTGATCAAAATAACTAAACCTCCCATAATTTGGTTTACAAAAGAAATGACCTTGCTTCCATTACCTTGAAGAAGTATGTTCCGAGTCTCTGCTGTACAGAAAATCTACATCCTGGCCTTTCAGCCTCAAATACACTGCATAAAGTAAGCGAATAGAAAATTAGAAGGAAAAAAAGCAAAAACTGTGTTGAAATTGAGACCATCTAATTTTGATTCAACGACCATGCTGTGTTGACTGCATCAATGTGTGAAATGTGTGAGATTGAGATTGCAGCCAATCCAAATCCATACATATACATAAGAAACATATATAAAATATATCGATGTCAAAAGCAATATTCTTTTAATGTTATGATGAGTAACCTGCTAGGCAAAGCTGCATAAGCTTTCTGCATACTTCCGATGAATCCCTTAGATATTGACGGTTTTCCAATTCGAGCATAAGGTGCCAACATTCCTACCAAAGCAACATTAACAACCAACCCAACAAGAAGATCCGCAACATACAACTCAAATTCATTCCAAAAGTCTTTGCCTCTCTTTTGATATTCAGCAACAGTAGCGCAGCAAGAGTCAATTACGATCTGCAAATCATGAGCAAAATCGGATTAACTAAGATACTCAAGTATAAACTAAGATTGCAATAAGACAATCCAAACAGACCTCTGAGCCAATTTTGAAAAGAAATGCCGGATCAGCCAGCATTCGATTACGAAGGATAGAGCATGATCTCATCGCAAATCCTAAAGGCCAAAAAGATCCCTGCAATTTAAAATACCATAAACAACAACATTAATGTCCAAGGTAATTCTCATGTTGTTTTGCACAAAAGCATGCTCTTTCCAATGAAAGAAACTGTACCTCTAACTCCAAATATCTAAGAAGAAGCAACTTTGGGATTCCCACACTCTTAGCAGCCTCCAACATATCAAAAGGAAGAGTAACACCGCGCGCCTCCGTCTCTCTCAATACCTCCTCATACTTTAGCATTGGCCCAAACTCTGCCTCTTCTTTTTCGTCACCATCATCATCACCACCACCGCCGCCGCCTCCCGCTCCACCACTTCCAAAGCTCCCATTACCACCACTACCATCAAACACAACTCCATTACTTCCATTTCCAACACTCTTGGAATCCAACTCACTATCCGAAATTTTGAGTTCCTTTCCCATATTACTATCACCTCCCTCATCCGACAATTCTATCCTAGTTATAGCAGGCTGTGACTCAGCCGGCGGCTGTAACATACACATTGTCAAAAACCTCTGTTTCTTTTGTATAGACACATACAATCCACCACCACCGCCACACTTGTTCACACAAATGGATGGAAATGCAGCCTCATTTAAGAACATCAATCGGCTAAAACTTGAATATTGATTTACATTCTTCCTCAAAACAGATTCTTTCCCTACAAAAACAACACGCGCCACCCCGAAATTCGAAGAACAACCCGCCATTTTCCTATAAAAATTGCAACTTTTCTCTACCACAAAACCACCCCCAAGTAAAAAATAGTATCTATCCTATCACCAGCTCAACAAGTAAGAATGAAACCAAAACAGATCATACCCCAAAATGAACCTACAAGAAACATTGAATCAAACAAAAACAATTATTGAAACAAACAAATGCATGTTCCTGGTAATCTAGGAATCAACTAACAAACAAAAAAAATTATTGAAACAAACAAATGCATGTTTCTGGGAATAAGTTAAAATCAACTAAAGTGAAAGTAAGCTACAAAATGAAAAAGGGTTTATAAATGGAAAGAAGTGTACCTTGTTGGGAGAAAATAGCCCTACAGTAGAGTAGTGAGGTAAATGCGGCGAAGTGAGTGTGAAGTTGTGGTTCCCCTACTTGTGTTGGTGTGTCAATTTGGGTTATATATGATTTTGGAGGTTCAAAATTCGTATTAGAGCAATAATTGAAACAGTTATACGCAACAGCATAACAAGACGCGTAGAATATTTCGTATTTATATACTCGCATCGTGTGTGTAGGTGGGTCGCTTGGGATATTTATTAAGATTGGGTTTCTTTTTGAGGGTGATTTTTAAATTAAAATTTTAATTTCATGTCAAAAAAAAATTTAGTTTCATTACTAATTGACAAATTAAAAATTATTGAATTGATGAGAGAGTATATGTCAAATTTATGTAGTTTTAAATTTTATGTTGTAAAAAAATTAGATATTCAGACACACTAAAAAATTATATGTAGATCAAATAACAATGACAATCAACTAAAATTTTTTAAGAATCATCTAATCTATCAACTAAATGTAATCAAATCACAAACTAACAAGAACAAAGATTAAAGTAAAGAATCAAGACACAGAGAAATTATTTATTCAATTTTATCTAAAATGATATACTCTAAAAGAGATAGCATATATTTGATTAATTATCAATCAAGACTCTCAACAAGAAATTATAAGTGAGTTACATGAAATTGGATCAACAAGTTAATAAAAATATTTCTTAATTTCTACCAATTTGAGATTCAATCTCTTCAACTCTCAATACATAAATCACTTAATTCTAAAATATTTGAAGGTGTTTATCAACCCTTATATTATAACCAAATATAACTCAAATTATTATATTTGAGTACTTTACAAATTCTTCTATTTGTCTATGTGAATTCATCTCTCTGAAAAACTCATATCCTTAGAAAAAAATAATATAAACAACTTAAATATAACACATGTTTTGAGACATCCGTTATGTGACTGCCAACATAAACATCCATTTATCTCATGTCGCACCTTAATTTTCCCACAAATGAGATAGAATCAAAATGTCTAAATTACAATTGTTTATCTGCCTCACACCACCTAATACACACCTAGCGGGTGAGGCTGATTCTGAATGTTGAGTTTTTTTTAAATTTCAAGGAAAACTTCATAATTATTCACCTTTCCTTCACATCAATTGTGATGTCAACTTATCTATCAACCACTTTGTTGCTCTTTTCTTTCTTAAGTCACTCTTTAATAAATTGACCAAATTGAAACAACATTTGAACCTTTACCTAGACATTGATTTGGTGAACACATATGTTAGATTGTCTTTTGAAGTAAACTTCTCAGACACAATCTCTTTTGATTCAATCATATTTTTAATGAAGTGCAAATGGATTGTCTGATCTCTTTTGATTCAATCATGTTTTTAATGAAGTGCAAATGGATGTCAATGTGATTTGTTGTATCATGATACACTCTATTATTAGCCAAATAGATTACACTTTGATTATCACAATATATCTTCACACATTAGTAGCTCCTCAATTATATATAATAACCAAATAACTTCTTTGACCTTTTAAATTAGGAAAATATACTTTAGTTAGCTTATAGATAAAATGAGTATGGATTGTTGATTTTCTTTTCAACTTATAGTTGTTCCAAACAATGTACACACAAAATTTGACAAGCAACTAAACAAAAAATAATAAATAACAAAGCATCATTAGCCATAAAGCAAGCACAAGAAAAAGTAATCAAATTCCTATTGGAAAAGCTAAATAAATTTAAATCAATTAATCAAAAGAAACTAAAGTTGTGAAAGTTGACTTGATCTCACGCTTAGTTTTATCTTGTATTTGATTAGTTGAAAGCATTTTAAACAATACTATATCTTTAAGTATTAAGGTGATGCGCGCGCACACACACCAAAAATATTTCAAAATCTTCATCTTTTTCTTAAAACTTCTTAAAACTAATATGGATAAATACTTAAACGATTAAGAAACATTTATAATCAATTAAGAAAGAAAAACTCGTTATCTAGTCGATTAGGCCTTTTATATGATCAATTAGAGAAGTAGTAATGTCTCTTAATCGATTAGGAAGTCTTGTAATCGATTAAGAGATGTTGAAGATTAAGGTTTCCTTTTTCGGCTTATCCTAATTGATTAGGTTGGTGTTCTAATCGATTAGGAAACGGCCAAGCCCATGTAGTGTTGCCATTTTTATCCAATGTTTTTCAGTATAAATGAGGTCTTACCTCACTTCTAAACACATTAGTTACTCTCTTATTTCATTCATTTCTCATTTTTTTAATAAGTTTTTTACTAAACATTCAACTTTGAGACTAATTCACTAAGCAGAAGTATTTATTGACCTTTGAGTTGGATTTGGGATTTATGTATGTATTTAGATTAGTTTTTCCTTTTGAGATATTTCCTGTAATATTCGTCAAGATGATCTTTCAAGGGTGTTCATTTTTGTGTTTGTTCTTCCTTATTTTAGTATTTATCTTCTAAAATATTTTTCTTAAAATATGTGCACAAACAATTTTTTTTATTTCTACTATAAAATATGGTTAGTTTTATTAAAAGTATCTTGTATGAATTCTTCTATAGTTATGGTCTTTTTATAATTTAAAAATAAATGTAAAAGAAAAAGAAAAAGAAATTTTATCTGAGTTTTAATGATCTTGAATATAGAAGAATTAAACCATGCTTTTATTAAATTTGTCACACAATTTACTTAATACTAATTAAAGTGTGTAATAAACTTTCAACAATCAAAATAACTTAAAGGTAAGATTATAGCTTTTATCAATAGTCTCGGAGCCAACAATTTTACCATTGTTGTCACCTTAAAGCAAAATCTCATTTCTTAGGAGTAAGAAGATAATATATTTTAATCTTTAGTCATATGACTTGAACAACCAATATCAAGATACGATTTAGAGTTTAAGTTGTTAATCAAATCAACACCACATCTTAATTTTTTTACTTTAGTACCCAATTATTATTAGGTTATCTTGTATTAGTGTAAAATAAGTTGTCCGATAAAAGTAATAATCATAATTTTTATTGTAAAAATAAAATGAAGAAAAAGAAGTATTTTAATTCATGTTATTCTCGTGTTCTTTCTTATTAAACAAGACAAAACAATATAACCCTTTTTTACTATAATAGTAATATCTCAACATATTAAATGTATAGGTTCTAGTCGCATGAATTTTTTTTACTAAAAAACATAGTATTGTTCTTAGGCTCACATCATAAACCAACTTTAATAAGTTGTTTTTTTACTACCTAAAATGAGATTCAAGTTATCTCCCACTTTGGTAAATTTGTCAAGTGTACTATGCAAATTTTTGATTTTGTTTTTTAAAACTTCGCACATTTCACACTCAATAGATTTATCAAAAGTCTTAGAAGAAGAAGTTAAAGGAGAGTCGTGAATTAAAAGAACTTGTTTTTTTCTAAGAGGAATTATTTCCTCTAATAAATTTTCATTTTCGTTTTGGAGAGTGTTTGTAATCGTTTTACAGACGAAAACAATTTCTTTTAATTTATTTGATTCATTATTTAGATTTTTATAGATGAGGAAGATCTCATTATAAATTTAGAAGTTAGAATTTTTACCTTATTTTCATTGTGTTTTATCACAAGACATAAATGAATTTCTTCCTCTTTTTCAGATTCATTATAGGGGTCTATGTTGTTTTTGTCCCATGCAATGTAAGTTGTCTCTGAATTTGTCTGTGGTTTTTTATATCTTTTAAATTTCCTTCGATTCTACAAATACTTTGGTGTGACATTTCTTTCTACATCGGAAACAAGTTGGAATGAAGGTTCATCTTTATTTATTTTGCTTGCTAGAACTTTGGAGGTTATATTTCGTGCCTTAGAAATTTCTCGAATTTGGGAAATAAGAGATCCATGTCTAAATTACTTAAACTCTGACACTTTTCATTTTCTAACTCCATGTCTTTGACATTTGTGGCTTTGAATGTAATATTTTCCTTTTTATTAGTGCCTTTTACACTTACACCAAGAAATTTTAGCTCAATTTCATATTCTTGTAATTTACCAAGCAAAATAGTCAAATCCATAGAAGACATGTCTTTACATTCATAAATCACAACGGATTTAGGTTTTCAGTCGTGGTTTAAGCATATAAAGACTTTGTTTATTAGTTCCTCATTTTGAAATTTTTTACCCAAAGTTCTAAAATCACTACTATGTTTTTCACATTTTATAACTGATCTGACCTGATCAGAAGGGGATCAAGGACTTGCCACACGTCGTTAATCTGTTGCCTGTTCACCGGTGTTGAAAAGGAGATGTGGGTGTACCTGCAAGACACTCTGATGTCAAAGTAACTGTTTGGACAAAGTGAGGGCAAATACAGAAAGTAGGTTGAGAAGAGAATACCTGACCCTCTTGGAGAAGAGGGTATTTATAGAGAGACCCCAACGCAGGGCCAACAGTCATTTTAGTTGGGCTGGATGGCCAGGCCCAACCCAAGTGACTGCTAGGGCTTACGTGGCGTAGTGAAGACCAGAACGTGGTCTTCCCCCTAGTTCAACTGCTCCGTGAACTTCGGAAAGTGGGTTGACCTGCTCTTTCGGAGGTGGGCAGTTGGTGGATGACATGTCCCTGCAGAGGGGAGCACGTGGAGAACGTGTGAAGGACACGTTGTTCTGCTCGACAGGGGATAAGGTTCTGCTCGCGGAGGGACACCGCCTGCCCGGCGGGGACTCTGTGCTCGATGGTTATGGTTGTCGCTACGCGAAAAATGACACAGAGTCGCCACCGGATTTTATTTATCCCACGGGGGGAAAGGGAAATATTGATAAAACCTTTGGGAAAAGAGCATGGTCATCGCAACCAAGTCTTAGGGTTCGGGAGTCGGTTATGCGAGGGGAAGGTGTTAGCACCCCCTCGCATCCATCGTACTCGATGGGAACCTTCTAGGTTATTTGGCGTGAATGGGTGTTTTTTATTAAGAGTTTGCTTGTTTTGGGAAAAGAAGGGTTGGGTTTATTTATTTTAATGCTCGCCAAGGATTGTGGCCCTTGTGCCTACGTATCCTCACTTAAAAGAAGTGAAGAATCAGAGCTCCGTAGTTCGGAGGCTTACGAAATAGTTGTTTGTTGGTTGATTTTATACCTTGAAAAAGGGGTTTTCGATTGATGCCCTAAGGCAAAAATAGGTTTGATGAGTTGATGTTATTTTTAAGTTTCTTGA